TTGACATCTGGTTTGATTTCTGGCCAGTCCAGGCTTGGAAGCCACCTGACACCACTCTCCCTCATGTACAGCGGTCGAGCTGCTGCAGTATGAGGAAGGCGTGATGGGATGCTGGTGATAGGTTGGGAAACAGTTAGAACACAATATACAGGGAATAAAAACACAACAAAATAATATGAAACAAATATAGTAAAAGCCCAAAAGCAAGTGGCAATAATAAAATAGAAATGCTTAGCAAATAAACAGAGCAAAGATAAGGGTGCAGGCAGGTAGCAGGCATCAAGAGATTGGTATGTCTCATGGAACAGGCAAACTACTGGAACTCTCAGCAGGCAAGTCACAGGAACTGGCTGCAGGAAGCAAGCTGAAGTGCTGTGATAGTTTGAAATGTTCCGTTAAACACGCTGAGAAATAATTGTCATATCAGTTGTGATCATGGTTAGAAAGTTGACATAAAAGTAAAAATTTGGAGCAGAGAAAACCTGGAGACTTGGAAGGAAGCATAGCAGTTGGACCAAAATTTTAAAAAGGGGTTTATTAGTGGGAAAGTTGCCGTATACAGTCAGGTCCATAAATATTGGGACATCGACACAATTCTAATCTTTTTGGCTCTACACACCACCACAATGTATTTGAAATAAAACAAACAAGATGTGCTTTAACTGCAGACTTTCGGCTTTAATTTGAGGGTATTTACATCCAAATCAGGTGAACGGTGTAGGAATTATAACCGTTTGTATATGTGCCTCCCACTTTTTAAGGGACCAAAAGTAATGGGACAGATTAACAGTCATAAATCAAACTTTCACTTTTTAATACATGGTTGCAAATCCTTTGCAGTCAATTACAGCCTGAAGTCTGGAACACATAGACATCACCAAACACTGGGTTTCATCCCTGGTGATGCTCTGCCAGGCCTCTACTGCAACTGTCTTCAGTCCCTGCTTGTTCTTGGGGCATTTTCCATAAAGTTTTGTCTTCATCAAGTGAAATGCATGCTCAATCGGATTCAGGTCAGGTGATTGACTTGGCCATTGCATAACATTCCACTTCTTTCCCTTAAAAAAACTCTTTGGTTGCTTTTGCAGTATGCTTCGGGTCATTGTCCATCTGCACCGTGAAGCGCCGTCCAATGAGTTCTGAAGCATTTGGCTGAATATGAGCAGATAATATTTCCCGAAACACTTCAGAATTCATCCTGTTGCTTTTGTTAGCAGTCACATCAATAAATACAAGAGAACCAGTTGCATTGGCAGCCATACATGCCCACGCCATGACATTACCACCACCATGCTTCACTGATGAGGGGGTATGCTTTGGATCATGAGCAGTTCCTTTCCTTCTCCATACTCTTCTCTTCCCATCACTCTGGTACAAGTTGAACTGTGAAGGCTTTTTTAGATGTTGTTTGGCACACTCTAATCTGGCCTTCCTGTTTTTGAGGCTCACCAATGGTTTACATCTTGTGGTGAACCCTCTGTATTCACTCTGGTGAAGTCTTCTCTTGATTGTTGACTTTGACACACATACACCTACCTCCTGGAGAGTGTTCTTGATCTGGCCAACTGTTGTGAAGGGTGTTTTTTTCACCAGGGAAAGAATTATTCGGGCATCCACCACAATTGTTTTATGTGGTCTTCCGGGTCTTTTGGTGTTGCTGAGCTCACCGGTGCGTTCTTTCTTTTTAAGGATGTTCCAAACAGTTGATTTGGCCACACCTAATGTTTTTGCTATCTCTCTGATGGGTTTGTTTTGTTTTTTCAGCCTAATGATGGCTTGCTTCACTGATAGTGACAGCTCTTTGGACCTTATATTGAGAGTTGACAGCAACAGATTTCAAATGCAAATAGCACACTTGAAGTGAACTCTGGACCATTTATCTGCTCCTTGTAAATGGGATAATGAGGGAATAAAACACACCTGGCCATGGAACAGCTGAGCAGCCAATTGTCCCATTACTTTTGGTCCCTTGAAAAGTGGGAGGCACATATACAAACTTTTGTAATTCCTACACCGTTCACCTGATTTGGATGTAAATACCCTCAAATTAAAGATGAAAGTCTGCAGTTAAAGAAAATCTTGTTCATTTCATTTCAAATTCATTGTGGTGGTGTATAGAGCCAAAAAGATTAGAATTGTGTCGATGTCCCAATATTTATGGACCTGACTGTATATTTGTTGTTGTAGGCCACACGTGGAATATTGACGTGTGTTTTAGCTATTTCTGTGTGTACAAGCATTTTTCATTTCTCGTAGCTAGTCATAAATGTTTTATTACAACTACAATGAGATCACTGTGACAAAATGTGTTTTCATTAATATCTTTATTGCGCAGTGGAGACATACATATTATTATAAACTATATATTGATATATAAAATACAGGTGATATAATTATACTTACAGCAAATATAAAGAAAACATTCTCTGCAAAATCATATATAGAATTTATAATATCTCCTATAAAAATAGGCAATCATAAACGTACCAACTAATTACCTTTAATGCATGTTAATTAAAATCAAGTTGAAACAGTTGACTTGATTTAAGTCAAAGGTCCCAAAAATCAAACAAGTTATTTTTTTGACGCCAATCAGTTAAGAATAATTTTACTTTATGGGATGTATTGTCAACATTATACCAACATGTTCCATTCTGTGTTGATTTGAGGATGATTGAAAGATCATAATTCAAAATGATATATGTTAATGTATTGAAAAGTAGTGTATAAATTAATTTCTGCAAGACACCAGTATTATATAATTCTAGGGAGCATGGTTTTGGATGCCTCTAAATGCTAATATGGTGCATTTTGATTGACGTTCCAATATATGCAGTCAGTAAATGTTCAGTGAAGCTTGTAAACACAACATATAGTATTAGCATGCAATATTGCAGTATTATATACAGTGTTAAGGTTTGCAGTATTACATACTGTGTTTAGTATTTGAGTTTGTGACTCACTTATGCTTTCTGTTTTATATTCATCTGCATGTTCTGCTTTTAATTTACATAGGATAGATAGAGTGTCCAGTACATATGCCATATGTTTTAATTTCTTAATTTTCTATAAGTTCAATGGACACTGTTTGTTGCAGAAGTAAAAAAAAGAATATACTTCAGTCTACCAATCTATGGAGAGGGTGAGAGTCTTGTGGGGCACCACATACTTTACAATCATAAAAGGAGGATGTAAAATGGCAATTAAAAATTAACAAATATATTTATGAGAAGAGTAGGCAGACCTACTCAAATGAGCTTGAACATGGCTTAACGATTAATCATTTTAAAGCTTAAGTTAAGCTTAAGATTTAATCAACAATGCTACACTGATTTTATGTCAAGACACAGAGGCTCATATTATAAAACTGGCCTCTGTGTCTTTCATAAAATCATGACTTTTCTTCATGACATAGCAAATGTGTGTAATTGTATTGTAATATAATTGTAATAATAATATATATGTATATTTGAAGCAATTATAATTAATTCTTCGGTTGTTTTTACCATAAATGAGTAAACTCAAGGTCTTGACATAATTTTGGTGGTAAACTGCAATTTGTATTTTGGAAATTGAGTTGTAGAGAGAAATTGGATTATGAAAGTTCCATGGACAGGGACCGTAATTTGTTAAAATATCTATTAGGGCAGAGTGTATATAAACAAATATTTTAATTACGTGCAGTGGAGGAACTACCGCGGTTGCAGGGGTCGCAGCTGGGACCGGCCCCACCACTCCAGGGGGCCAAGACGCCCTGTGAACCCCTGCGACCGGGTGCCTGCCGCCATGTGTTGGGGCCCATGCTGTTAGGGCCACCCAATGGCAAAGTATTACCAGGAAGCTCAGTCAGCGCTACAGCGCTTTACCAACATGACCAGCAGGGCCCCTGTGATGACATCAGAAAGGAGAGGAGGGAGTCAGAGTGGGAACTCTGACTCCCATCAGCCTGATCCACCACCTGGCCCCAGGGAAGTCACCCTCCTGCATCTATAAGGTAGGAAACAGGAGGGTGACTAAGGTGTGTGTATGTCTCTGTGTGTGTGTGTGTGTGTGTGTGTGTGTGTCTGTATGTGTAGCTATTTGTCTGCATGTGAATTTGTACGTCTGCGTATTTGTATGTCAGTGTGTGCCCTGTGTATCTGTATGTGTGTCACTGTTTGTATCTGCATGATTGTCATTCTGTGTATTTGAATTTGTCCTTAAGTGTTTGTGTTACTGCATGTGTGTCTGTCTGTATATATGTATCTTTGTGTTAGTTTGTGTGTCTGTGTATCAGCATGTGTGTCCGTGTATGTATCTGTATGTGTTATATGGTGTGTATCTGTATGTATGTCAGTGTGTGTTTTTATATCTGTATGTGTATCAGTGTATGCATGGGAGGGTCTGTGTAACTGTCACCCCACCACACACACACTGTTCCCCCCTTTACCCTGCCACACTGACAATAACTCCACCAGTCCTGTCACTCACCCATTCCATTCTCACTTCCAATCGCTCTGCCATATTCACCCCATTACATTCACCTTCTCTCGCACTGTCATACTTACCCCCAATTCTGTCACTCACCCATGCCATACTCACCACCCATTGCTCTGTCATATTCAGCCTATTACACTCAGCTTCTCTCGCACTGTCACACTCACCCCTCAATCCTTTCACACCCTTTCTCCATTACTATGTCACAATTGTCCCCTTTCACCCTGCCACACTCACCCTATCTCATTAACTGCTCCAATTCTGTCATACTCAACCTCCCAACCATGCCACACTAACCCTGTGGGGTGTGAATGAGACACATGGAGGGGCTAAGGGGCTGGGGTGGGGGTTGAGGTGTACTGGGGGGGGGGTCCCAGGGTAATTTTCGCACCGGGGCCCCATGTTTTCTAGTTATGCCCCTGGTTACGTGTAACAGCAATAATGAAAATATCTGGCACCCTTACATTATAAGGGTGCAAGTTATTCTTGTAAAATATTTTGTTTCATCATTCAGCTGACGTTTTTCAAATCTCAAGCTTGATAGAAAGGACCACTGGTGTTTTTGATGGTTCTTTACTGAATAGCCCGGTACATTGGAGCAATCTCAGAGAAACTTGCTTTAATTTTGGGCTCCCAAATATCAGCACAATAGACTGTGCAGGAGAATAGCTATAGATAACCATCAGACACGCACAGTAAGCCAGGCTAGTGGGGGGAAATGCATCTAAAAACATAAGTATCTCAGACACATAGAAAGACATGTACAGGTAGAGGAGGCAGCTAATTGTCCTGGCAGCTCTTATCCGGCCCTCTGCATGACTGTTGAGCTCTCCCTTTGAATTTCTATTTGCATCATGCCTGTGAGTCACAAGGGACTTAATGATCAACCCGTCAGCTATTGCCACAAGAAGTAGAGGAAGGGAACAACTTATGATATTACTGGGGAGTAGATACACAATGTTCATTTTTAGAAATGAAATTTCTATACTGTGGTTGGTTGTCATGTTTACATCCTCGGCAACTCTGTAGAGGTTCCAGGCTGAAGGAAGCCCAGTAGTTAGGGAGGTGAAAACAGAGGCTACTAGGAGACATGGAACCATCCGTGAAAGACCCATCTTTAGTCTAATTAGCAAGGGGTGAGTGAATATTACAATTTGCAAACAGTAGTAAACAGAGAGGCAAACCGTGAACCAGAAGCTTGAGTAGATCGGGAGGAAGAGTAGGACTGTGAAGGTGATAAAAACCTCATCTGTGAAGTAGATGTCACTGTACAGGAAACTCATATAATCATTAATCAACATTATGAACTGAAATAACACATTGGATGTACAAAGTGTGGCCAGTATAAGATCTGAGGAACTGAGAGGTTTGCCCTTGATCTTATCAATGAGGTTCACAGCAATAATTAATGTGTTGGTAAATACTCCTATTAGGGTGCTGAGTGCCAAAATTGCCAAGGAGGCAATGATAAATACGGGTAGCATCAGTTATATAAAATAGCCAAGTGATGAAACTTATCTTCAAGGGACCATGTACTGCTTTAGTTGAATAGATAAATATCTGTAGATTTGGAATAGTAATAGACGAAACCTTCCATTCGCACGTTATGAGCTGGAACAAAGAGAGGTCAAAAATAATAACCAGCATTAAGCCTGTCTAGAAGACAAAATAGGAAATGATTCTTAAGAAACATATTGCATATCATATTGTGCTTTACTTCCACTAGGGCAATTTAGTGAAACTTACAGCCAAATCAAGACTCACAGCCCATTAAACTCAGATTGAGAGAATTTGGAGGTGAGATGATCAATGCGATTAGGTGTACTTGTGATCATAAAAATACATTTGTAATCTAAGTTGACTTTGATCCCATCTCAGTGACATATCACTGCATGCTTCTTACAGTGCATATTGAAGAGCAAGTCTGCTTTGACGTAGTGTTTGTATAACATTGTGCTAGAAAAAACACATGTACAGTTAATGTCCAAACTTATCTGGAAGCAAAATAGGCTGATGGGACATCATCAGTGGCTTGAAAATAGAGGATGTGTAGATTTATTTTCAGTAGTGAGGTCACTTATGTGCAGTAGAAGGTGAGCTCATACAATATCATCTCCTCATATGCTTGCACTTTTAGATCTGTAAATATAGCAAATATATTGTTACTTACATCAGTAACCATCTAAGTCACTGTGTGCAAATCAATTATTTGTAATCATATAAAGCCACAGTAAATATTATACATATTCCTAACATTTATTGGGTTTCTATGTGAGATATGAAAAATGTGATATTGATATATAATATTGCTGGGGACAAGCTTATCTGATCATATGATAGTTGTTATCAAAAATAATAACAGATAAATTACATTTAGGTAAATGAATAAAGCTGTATCCTTCTTCGTCTTCATTTACCTATATAAATATTTCTGTAATTTTTCATGATTACACAGTTTTTCACTCTTTTGGCCCACTCCTAGCATATCAGTAAAGGGGTGGGACAGAATCGGTTGTAGTAAACATAGAAAAGTTGGGACAGAGGCTACAGCCTGGGAGAGTGACCTATCAATCTCAGGCAGCCCAGGCATTAAAATATCGGTGTCTTTTGGGACCCAGTGATAGACAGTATTGGATCACACAGTGAATTGTGCTTTTTAGCATAGGCGTGCGCAGCCTATTGCATTAGGGTGTGCACCCTAAAGCACAAACACACGCCGCGCGCGCGCGTGTGTGTGTGTGCGTATATATATATATATATATATACATATATATATATATATACATATATATATATACACACATATATATACATATATATATATTCACAGACACACACACTCACAGACACAC